GTTTTGCTCTGTTCCTAAAAATGCTATCTTTTTTTTTTTCTATTTTTCGGATGATTTGTCTAAATTTTTTGCCTATAATGTATTGATTTGCAGTTGTAATCAAATATTATGCCCTATTCCTAATAAGTTCATTATAAAGTGTTGTCTTTTTTCGTTGCTCCCTTAATTTTGCCCATAATATGTTGATTTGCACTTGTTTCTGCAAGAAAATCACTGTGAAAACTGAAAACATCTTGGTATGCTGAATCTCACCAAATTCCGACACATTTTCATCAAAACCTCGTTTGGCCCGACTCCCTCAATATCCGTATGCTGTAGTTTCACTTCATCATCAAACCCCATTGCTCATCCTTCATCCTCGCCAGCTGTCGCCATCTTTTGGGATCTCGATAACAAGCCGCCCAAGTCCTCCCCGCCTTTCGATGCCGCCATTCGGCTAAAAAAAGCAGCACAAAAATTCGGGTTCGTCAAGTACATGATTGCTTACGCCAATCGACACTCGTTTGCCTACGTACCACCTCTAGTCCGTGACCAAAGAAGAGAGAGAAAAACCCTAAACGAGCTCGAGAAAATAGGCGCCATCAAGCCATCAGAACCTTACACGTGCGGTGTTTGCGGGAGAAAGTTCTACAAAAACGAGAAACTCATGAACCATTTTAAGGACATTCACGAACGCGAGCAAGCAAAACGTGTGAACCAGATTGAGTCCTCCCGTGGCAAGAAAAGGGTTCGATTAGTGGCCAAATACGCCATGAAGATGGAAAAGTACAAAAGGGCTGCCCGGGATGTGTTGACTCCGAAAACCGGTTATGGGCTGGCGGACGAGGTTAAACGGGCCGGGTTTTGGGTCCGGGAGGTTTCAAACTTGCCTCAGGCTGCTGATGTGGCGTTGAGGAATCACATGGTGGAGCTTATGGATCGGAGGGTGATGGATTGTCTGGTTCTTGTTTCGGATGACTCGGATTTCGAGGGGGTTTTGAAGGAGGCGAGGGAGAGGTGTCTAAAGACTGTTGTTGTGGGTGATGTCAGCGAGGGGTGTTTGAAAAGGACTGCCAATAGCTCGTTTTCTTGGGAGGAGATTTTGATCGGGAAGGCGAGGAAGCAAGCGGTCTCGGTTGTGGGGAAGTGGAAGGATTTTAGTGTGTTGAAGGGGTTAGAGTGGACTTACGATCCGGAGAGGGAGAAAAAATCATATTTTGAGGAGATCGAGAGCCGGGGTTCGGATTTCGAGGGGTCTGGTTCAGACGACGAGTCGGGCTCGGGCTCGGTTTTAGGGGAAGGAGGTGATTGGTGGGAAATGGAGTCGGATGGTGATGACTGATGAGAGATGATTGAAATGTGAGTTGTTAGAAGATCTGAAGATGTGATTTTGGATAAGTTATCAAAATGGAAAACAGAGAAGAAGGAAAAAAAAAAGACGCTAGAGTTTTCTTTTCTTGCTGTAAATATGGGGAAAAAAAAAAAAACTTGATCTGTCTATGGAATTGTGTGGTTTTTTGATGGAATTTTTTATTGGTCTGTTTGTGATTCTAAAAGATGGAACTGTTTGTCTCGACGAGCTGGGGTGTTTGATGTTCGACCATTGTCAAGCTAGCAGCTTTTCTTTTGGGATCTCGATCGCGACTGACATCAGCGTAAAAAGGTTGGATTTTTTTTTTTAATCCACTATTTGTTGTTATGGAATTACAGCTTATGAGTTATGATCCGATGGAAAGAAAGTAGCTACGTGCATTGTATTCAGAAACTTGTATGCTTAGGAAGATTTAGAATGGGTTTTTATTCACTATTTGCATTGTATTTCATTTACGGTTTAGCTCAGGGAGATTTCGAATGGTTCATTAAAGGAAGACTATACGGTCTGCAAAAGATTCCGTCCTTTAGTAAATTATTAAAAATGTATGCTTAATTTTACCCATATGTATCAACTTCCCTGCTATTGGTGCTAAAGAAAACATCGAAAGATTTTATTCGTGCACGAGCTTTTAGCAATGTACGTTTATACGCCGTTTTCCGAATATTTTGTTGCGCAAATCAAAACTCCGAGAAATGTTAGTTGCTCTGCTCAGAAACTCGAACTGCAACATTCTTGCAAATTGGATAAAAGACTGAAAAAATCCCATCTTTTGTGGTCCAGTTATAGTGTAGAACTGCACTAGGGGCATAAATATTATCTTAAATTCTTTAGTGTGAGCAGATTTTAGATAATTGCCATGAATGAGAGAATATGATCCATGAGAGGGACAAACATTACCTTGTTTGCTCAGAAGATTCATTGTGGATTAGGTTGTAATAAAAACATTGACAGGTTTTTACATAATAAATTGTACCTAACATGCATGTGTATGAGACACACACACACACACACACACAAACACACACACACACACACACACACACACACACACACACACATCCTTTTCAAGCAGATGAGAAAATTTATGGTTCAATGGTGTTGCCTCTTGAAAAGGGATATTTCATTTTGGTACCTTTATTTAGTATATGACAAGGAAATATGTAGGCATATATATTTTGTTTTGGGAAATTGGTTAGATTTTCAATTTGGTTGAATAAAAAATTGGTTTAAATAGCACTGTTTTTTTTTTAACCAACAACTGAATACAAGCAGCCAACAACTGAATAAACTAGGAGGACAAATTAGAAGACCGCCTAGAAACGACCCCAATAGCGTAGTACTCTAGAAACACAAAAACACCATGACACTAAAAGCTCCCAAGAGGAGAATGAAAAAGAAAAGAAAAAGAAAAAAAAAAACGACCCCAACAGGATAATACCGGAATGTACGGTCCCAACAGGATAATAAAGTCACACGCGGGCTAAATAGCACTGTTAATGGTGGTTGATTTTTTTTTTTTTT